AAGAGAGAGGAAGAGAGAGAGAGAGAGAGAGAGGGAGAGAGAGAGAGAGAGAGAGAGAGAGAGAGAGAGAGAGAGAGACTGAAATATAAAGGGGATAAAATCCAAACTCAAAAAAGTTAGTTTGGCTAAATTAATATCAAACAAAATAGAATTTCAAAGAAAAAAGATTGTTGAGATTAAAATGATCATTGTATAATAATGAAATGTTTGATTATACTAGAAGATAGGTTTTCTACATATATTTTTATACTCAACAAGGAAGCACGGAAAATATGTACATATATGAAAATAATCAGAAATAAACAAAGGAGTAGATGAAGCCACAATTCAAGTGGGAAATTTAAAAACATTTCTCTGATGGGTGGTGTAGATAATGCAATCAGTAAACACCAATTAATAAGATAAAGATAATGCACATATATAGAGCACCACATTCAAACAACGAATTATTCCAAAATACAGACTATTTGTAAACTCTGACAACATGCTGAGCACTACGGACACCCTCAACACATATCAATGGATTACTTACAAACCCTTTCATTTTAATTCATTTAGACAAATTGTAATTAAATATGTGGAATTTCTGTCTTTTGCTTATGTTACTGGCATGAACTAGAGGTAACTTTATTCACTTTCTTTGTAATCTTCATGATGTTTTGTAGAGAGATCCAAATTTAGGTAGCTAAGAAAAATTCAGGCACCTCAAATATTAAAAAATAAACATTTAATTTTGCCAAAGGAAACAGTACCAGGATTCTGGTCTCCAAGTCCACTCTTCAGTAAAAGGGACCCAGGGCTGTTTAGACAAAAGTGACTCCTCGTGCTGGGGACTTTAAATAAGGAGATCCTGGAACAATTTTGGGGGGCAGAAATCATGGAAGCTTTCAAAAGGTAATGTAAAAGTTATGTAAAAGAATGCATAATTCAGCAAGAAAGCATTTCTACTTGATAAGATTATGACAATTTGAGCATTAAAATAATTTCAAATATAATGCATTGAAGTACATTGAATTAATGAAGAGACCTGATTGTCTGACGCTGCCCAGGCATAGGGTATCTGGACAAATGAATGCGTAACTAACAGAGGCAGCCATGAAACAAGGTCCTGAAGTAAAAAGCCATAGACAAGAGGAAGAATTAAGCATTTATACAGCCTCTTCAGTGAGTGCTGCACTTCCAGCAACCATACAGCTCTTGTTGATGAGGGAAAGTTCTACTTTACTGAATTGTATCCTGTGGCCCTTAAAGAGTTTATTGACTCAGACAAGGACTATACTTTGTATTAAGTGTAGACTATTTTTTGTTTTAGACAGGGTCTCACCGTGTAGTTCAGGCTAGCCCTTAATTCACTATGTAGTCCAGGCTGGCCTTGAACTTGTAATGATCCTCCTGCCTCAGCCTCCAGAGTGATGGGATTACAGTCATGTGCCACCACACCAGCCTATACTTTCTATTAAAACCATTACGTGTGTGATTGACACGGAGCCAGATATTTGAATAGATTATACTTAGAATATGGAAGTGAAAAATGAAAAAAATCAGCATTGTTGAATGAAAGAATGAGCTATAGCTTTAATTTGTTGCAAATCTGAATATTAAGTGATATCCAGATATTAAATGACTCCTGTGATTAAATTATGTAGATTACAGCTTCTCCTCTGTTGCATTTTCACCAAAAATATTAGCTTGAATCAATAAGACCTTTAGAACTAACCCCTACTTACATGATATTGGATGAATAAGCAAAAGGAATCTGAGCATAGTAAGACCCCTGGCCCAATATCTTCTTAATCTATGTGTGACAAAGGGATATAAAAGCCAAACACAGTCATTTTGATTTACCAGCTTTCCAGTACAATTGGGAAAATTTGAATATGTACTGAGTATTAAGTGAGATGAAAATATAAATTGAAAGATGCATATTATTAATTTAACAAAGCACATTACAAAACAGTGTGTGTAGCAAGGTTTTATTTTAATAAAACATGCATAAAAAAGATTCAGAATCATACAGAATAAAGTGCTAATTGTGGCCATCTCTAGGTGTAGGACTGTTGTATTGTTATTGTTTCATTTTGCTTATCTGAATGTTTAATATACAATGAAATACCCCGCTTTTATAAAGACATTAGTTGGGCTTTTTTTTTGTTTTTTTAAGACAGGGTCTCAGTATGTAGTTGAGACTGATGTGGAACTCACTGTGTTGCCCAGACTGGTCTTGAACTCACAGTGATCCTCCTGACTCAGCGTCTCAAGTGATGGGAATGACATTAGTTTTTAAGTGAGCTGAGAATTAAATTTTTTTGGTTTTGGCACCAGGAATCGAACTCAGGACCTTGCACTTGCAAGGCAGCTGAAGTGCCACTGAGGTAAATTCCCCGCCCTCTTAGTTCTTGCTAACTATAAAAGATAAACAGATTTTTGATAATCTTAGCAAGGAAAAAGTGAAGATGGAATTAAAACCAAAAAGCTAGACACAACAAAGATTAAGAATAATAAAACTATGATAAGCAAATATTCATAATAATTCAAAAAATTATTTCAAGGAAAAACTGTCAAGAGTCAAACTGGAGGAAATGCAAACCTGAAAACCTCAACTAAGCATGAAGAAATTAAAATGACACCGAGAGTCTCTCCTCCCACTAAGTCCCAGACTCATAAAGTATTAAGGCTGAGTTCTAGTTTATTTTGCTCAGCATAGTTCTTCTTGTTCCGCCCATGTTCTTTTGCCCTGGCACAATTATTAATGATGTCTCTTTATCCTCAAATGTGCCCTTGTTACATAAACCATAGATGAATTGCATGACTAACTTAGGTCCAGCAAACTTTGAAGGAACAGTTGATTCCACAGAATACAAGGTGCTCCCAAGCATGAAGGTAGTGAAAAGCTGCCAAAATGATTTTAGGACGTTCGTGTTATTGTGACTTCAAAGACAGATAAGAAAAACAAAGAGTAGAAAACAATAGGCCACATCTCCTATGTAAGTGTATGTCAAAATCACAAGTAAAATTTTAGATAACTGAGTCCCTTACCATTTGTTAAAGAG